GGAATACTGCCATCCTCTTTGGATCTGGAAGCCAACTGTTAAAGTCTGAGATCCACCTAGAGGCAAGTAAATCAAGGTGAAACGGATCCTTCTGACATTCCAAGGCAGCAAAAACTTGAGGATTCAGTTGCCAGTCGCTGCCATCCCTCCAATGGCAGGAGAATCAATCTGCCGTGAGTTTGGACTCCCCTGGCAGGTGTTCCACTATCAGTGCGATGAATGCAGTGCTGTGATATGGTCAGTTTGATAGAAACATTTAAATACATAAAGGAAATCAACACAGTAAAGGAGGAGACTATATGTAAAAGAAGAAAAACTACCACAACAAGAGGACATAGTCTTAAATTAGAGTGGCAAATGTTTAAAAATCATTTCAGGAAGTATTACTTTACTGAGAGGGTAGTGGACACATGGAATAGCTTTCCAGCTGAAGTGGTAGAGGTTAACACAGTGAGGGAGTTTAAGCATGTGTGGGATAGTCATAAGGCTACTCTAGATTTATAAAGCCAGGGACTAATTAAAGTATTTCAAAAATTGGGCAGACTAGATGGGCCAAATGGTTCTTATCTGCCGTCACATTCTATGTTTCTATGTTTTTATGTATTTGTAAGAGAGTGACTTACCAGAAGACAATCTGGAATGGGCATGTCCCCTGCCTCCCCGGCCTCAGTCCGAGCCCTTGGAGTATTAGAATCTCTGATGATTACCCATTTCTAAATAGAAGGTTTGCTGCGTAGTGTGTGGCCAGATGGCCGGAAGCGACTGTTTGCTTTGCTGACCAGCCCTACCAAACACACCCCTTGAAGAGTTTCCTCGGAAAACCTTCCGCATTGAGGACTGTGACTTTTTCAGTGGGGAAAACACATCGACATGTTTGTTTAGCTCCTTCATGAAGGCCTCTCCGAATAACTTGCCCTGTGCCAGTGGGCCGAGTTCTTTGGCCCATAAATCCACTAGGTTTCCATCACTTGGGAACAGTGCTGCTTGGTGTCTCTCTGAAGAGGGCAAGAGAGGCCCAGAGACTAGGGACCTGGAGGAAGGTATCCAAACAGGTGTGAAAACAACTTATGTCAATAGCAACAATGACTGGTAAAGGCATAGTTACCACGGCGCAAATCTACCATAACTCAGGGTGCACGTAGATATGTGCCAAACGCATGGAAGCATTTAGCACCATGAATATGCTATGAATATGCAAATTCTGCCCAGACTGGAAAAGATAATTTGGCCGCAAAAATTTTATTTGGCACCAAATGGGAAAACGTTCGTCATCATGAAAAGAAGGCATGTATACAATGTGCCAAATGCCACCACAGGAGATCAAACAAAAGCCCAAAAACCTCTACAGACCGAGGTAATTAGTCGGGAAGTGGAGAATGGCCACAGATGTGTACCCCTTTGCAAGAGGTAAGGGGAAAACGAGGAACAGGAACCTTAATTAGATATGGTTCACCAATACAAGAGGAGGAACAATATACAGAAATGACCTTGTCTCCCACTAGCATGGAGGTTAGGCACACCAACTGAACTGGAATACAGATGATAGGTAAAGAAAGGACTACAGATAACATGAACAGATAACCCGACTGGCTCTCTCACATTGAGACAGACAATTTTGTCTGTTGATAACAATAAACAGATTAGAAGACAAAAAGTGTATGTTTCCCAATATGTATACATTAAACATGCTCCCACAGTTAAAGAATTTAGTCTGTCCTTCTCTGGATTAGGGTTGCTTTATTCCTAGGGCAGTACTGGAACATACACGTCTACAACCGTCTAGGATTAGTGGAAATTACATTCACATATATTAGCTGCTAATTGCCACTGCTGTTTACAACATTAATTAATTCCCTCTCTCAATAGTGATGTCTACAAAGGAGCTGGGGACACATACTGAATTAAAATGACAGCAGCTACTGTCGAAATAATGGACAGATCATACACAGAATAGAAAATTGACTGATCTTGGTTAATCAGCTCACTGGATTCCTTTAGCATTTCTTTCATTGAAGAAAATAATCACTCAACAACTGAAAAACAAATTTGACTCCACTGAGCTATCATTGAAGCCCTAAGTCAACTGCTAAGGTGTATGAATTAGTATCTTTGGAAGCCCTGAGACAGTAAACATAAGTTTACTGCAGTCACGGACTACTATCAATTTACACATTTACACATGATTTACAATTTACACATGATTTTTACTTTATGAAATAAACAGTTAAAATTTAGCAGTCAAGACACAGAACTTACCATTTTAAGAAGACTGTACTTAGAGTCAACAGAATGCAGAAACACAGTTTTATGTGAACTATGAAGAACCGAGTTTCATAACACATGCAATAAGATGCACAAATTAAAATGTTGACCTAAACTGTTTTTTTTTTTTTATATTTTTACTCTGCTTCAGGTATTATAAATATGCAATGGTATTACTGAAATGACTTGCTGTCAAATATTTCCACCACAATCATGTTGGTGATTTTGTTTTATAACACTAGGGTATATTCGGTAAACAGTGACAAGGAAATCACTAACTATGTACATTGTGGGCAAATAAAACTGAGTGTCACATTTTAAGTTAAAATAACTTAATTGAACGTTAACAGTTTTTCTTTTTTCATTTCAGCTAAACTTTGAAACGTTTTTGAAAAAAAGTGAAATTCATTTTGAATTCATAATTCATGATAATACTCAATTATCATTAATTTTGTAATACCTTTTTTAAAATCATTATCATTAATTTTTTTAATACCATTTTTATTGCATTAACAGAATGTTGTAATGACAAAATAAATATATAAATATATAAAACCCTCTACTTTTCCACCATTTCTTTGTTGTTGTGCGTGTATGTATTAATACACTGTATTAATACTCACTGAAATATTTTATCTTGTTAAGCTCAAATTTTTTGGCTGTCCTGATAAAAGATTTGCCAGCCAAATTGCGACAGATTTGTTCATTTCTAGCAACTAGCTCGTGTTGAAATGCCAAAAACATTATTTCACTTTGCAACCTTATATAATTTATTTCATGAGGTTAAGATATTTTTTAAGTGCCACTATTTATTTTGGAATTGTCTTCCATGCTTGCATTAAAAGGAACTCCAAGCAGGCCATCAGTTATATTCCAGTTTTCCTGCAGACAGGCTAATAAAGACATCACAGGATTCTCCAAAGACCAGTCACTGGATCTATTTCAACTTCAAACATGTCAGTCTGCACGAGTGCCTGAGGTAAAATCAATCACATGCTACAAAGGTGAGCTGAGCATTTAAGTTGAAATTCCCTACGTACCCACAGATACGTCTTCAAGTGCGAATCATATAATCACACAAATCCTATTAGCATCAGAAAATGCACAGATAAAACAAAACTTATAATATATATATGTATGCATGTCTGTCTATGTGCTGCTGGGAGCATCATTTTCACTTATCTTGGGCAGACCAGGACATGTATGTCTCAGAGTTTAGGGGTCCCTACAATGTGTGGTGTCAATTGTCAGTGAAATCATGCATTACAAAGAATATATATAGATTGATTTAAGTTTTCTCAAAAGAGCTTTGTGGTCAGGAATACATTAGTTGAATGTTCAAAGAGCATTCTTTCTTCAAGAATCTTCCAGCTAAGCTAGGCATGACTGATGGAATTGGGGGGTTGGTGAGAACGTAGGATTGAAGACTTAAGGAAGGACATGCAGAGAGCATGTATGGTGGACAAGGGAGTAGAATGCAGATGCATTGAGTAGTGGAGAGTAACATCAAAAAATAAAATATATCAATGATATAAAGTAACACATTCCATTTATTCTGTAGCTAACAAGAATTGACATGTACCCATCTGTAGTCATTGTACCGCTGTGAAAGGATAGCCACTGCAGGGTGAACACGTAATGTCAAGTACAGGTCTAGACCTAAAATATTTTGTGGGAAGTGGGGTGGAGGCTAAAAAGGTGATCGTGTTACAAATTATTACGGTCAAATGGCACACGTGCACACCAGGCCCAGATTAAGAGCACAGTGGGCCTGGTGCTGACAATTATGATGGGCCTAATTACGGATTCTTATCGACCAAAAACACTAAAACAGTCATACCTCCCAAGCATCATGTATCTGATGGAGATGATGCTGGAGGGAAACTCATAGGATGCAACTATAAAAAAACACATACTCTATGCTAATCTCTCTCTAATTTATGCTTCATCTTTCAAGTAAATCCATAACCCATAACAACAGTGAAGAAGGAAATCAATGGGCGCGGTAAAAGGGTGTGCCACTGGCGCGAATCACGTGACCAGACCTGCCAAAAGGGGTGAACATGCCCAAAAAGGGGGCATGTTTGTCCAAAGAATTGGAAGGTCAGCCTGGCATGAATGCATGTCATGCTGCCTGCCAATCCTGCAGGCTGTCCAGGGCATACTATGCAGGCAGCACCCTGAGCTTGACATAAATGCGTCTAATGATGCGCTCACTCCATGCTTTCTAAGGACTGTCCCCTAGCACTCGCTGGTCCACTAGTCTCCTTACCTTCTTACTAGCAGGCAGAAGTTCCTGGTACATAAATACAAATATGGGTCAATCCAACTATAGGGAAATAAAAGATAACATAGTGCAACTCCGTATGATACTTTTATAATAGTAGTATGTGCCAAATGAGTCACTCACACTTTAACTGTATGAATAGGGCTTATCAAAAATCCATGTAGCTCTCAGGCAATATTCTTATTCCAATGTGTGATCTTCCAGATCTCAGTGACATAGAAAGATAGAATGCATCCAAAATGAAAAGTAGAAAAATGTGCATAAAGTAAAAAAATATTTATTACTTACACATAGGTAAGAATCAATCAGCGTAAAAGTTAATTAAAACTGTCCACCATCTGTCCAGTAATGACAGGTATAACAATGAATTAAAAAAACACTCCTCCTCCCTCCCCCTTAAATACACACCATAGTTCAATTTGAGTCCTTTCATGTGTGTCTCCAATGAGACTCAGCTGCTCCCGGTCAGATTGCGATCACTTCCTGGGTCCGGGTGTATGACGTCATGACATTGCGTTCCGGACGTCAGACATGCGTTCCACTTGCATTCCATTTGCGTTCCACGAGATTTTTTCAGTAGTGCTGTGTTCCTTGCATTCCACATCCGGTCCACCATAATGGGACCATTTGAAATTGGTGTATTAAATATAACTAGAAAAGTTAAAATTTCAGGGGAAATTGTGTGAAGTGTTCTTGCCTCCACCTGTAGTCTACAACTGGAGTGGGCGGAGTAACTGTTATCATTTACATAGCACATTTAATTGCAACGTTGTTGCACAGTTACATTAAACCATGCATTTATAAAAACATTAGCAGGTGTTCAAAAGGCCCTGTCTATGACATCACTTGCTGCTGCAGCTTGACACAGGTCAGAGTATTTTGGTGGTTGCCATCTTCAAACGGTCGTATCTTAAAAACTATAACTCCTACAGTGAAGAGCTTTATATTGTGAGAATCACAAGACCCAGACCTACATTTTGATGCATAGTATGTCTCTGAAGTATTAAAATTGAAGGCACAGTCGCAGTTTAGAAATTGCACTTAAAATTTGAGCTTTGCAGAGTGAAGTTTCAATGAATGTCAATGGACGGCGTTGGTTGCAAACAAATGGTCATATTGTGAAAACTATCAGGACTACGGCTTAGCCGTTGACATGTTTAGTGGCAGCAGGGATAGCTGAACGTTTTGATATAAGATTTGTGTAGGTGGGCCTGAAAATAAGGGAGTGGTGGCAGTTTAGAAATCATGTCCTGATTTTTCAGCTTTTGCCAGCTCCCACTCTAGCTTTGCCATTCATTCCTATGGGACAAATTGCGCCACAAAAACGACGATATTCCGTGAACCATTCGGCGAAACGTTCCACAAAGTAATAGCAATCCGATCGGGAACAATCTGCACGTTTTGGTAAATTTTGGTCTATGTAGTGTAAAAACTGTGGGAGGAGTTAGGGTGGCAAATTTGGCTATAATAAGAATAATATATATGTGAGATAACAATAAGTGTTCTTGCAAGAACACTTAATAAAGGCATGGGGGGAATAAAAGCATATAAAAAAAAAAGATTTTTAAGCACACTTTCTCTTTGTGTTAATTCCTTATCTACTTATATTTGTACAATATGAATGCATTCTCTATGTAACGTGATTAACATATATAAAGTATAATAGAGTCTCTGCAAGCAAGAAACTTATGAAGAAATATAAACTTATGAAGAAATTCCCTTACTATTTTATATTTTAAAATTTTCAAATACATAAACATTTGCGTATATTATCATTCTTTTATAATTATATGGCTGTAATTTAATATAATATCAAAATCTATTTTAAATAGGAATTCTGGGACAGAGAAAAGGTGTATGTAGTGAGTGTAGAAGAAAGGGGACATGCCACAGTGTTAGAGAGACCAACGTCTACATTACCTAAACTAATTTTCTTGTCAGCCAGTCCACACAAGTTTTGTTCCCATACATCCCTCTTAAGCTTCCAAACTTAAAGGGGCACTATAGTCACCAGAACAACTACAGCTTATTGTATTTGTTTTGGTAAGTAGAATCATTCCATTCAGGCCTTTTGCAGTAAACACTGTCTTTTCAGAGAAAATAACTCCACTGGCCGCTCCCTAGATGCCTGGTAGAGGTGCTTCCTGGGGCAGTACTGCCTAGTGTGCAGCACTGCCATTCAGTGTATCCACCCTCTGCATGCAGACACTGAACTTTCCTCATAGAGATGCATTGATTCAATTTATCTTTATGAGGAGATGCTGATTGGCCAGGGCTATGTTGGACTTGTGCTGGCTCTGCCCCTGATCTGCCTAGTTGACAGTCTCAGCCAATCCTATGGGGAAGTATTGTAATTTGCTCAGACCACCACTTCTGATGATGTCAGAGGCAGAGCCAGCAGCTGCAGACTTAAATACAAGTAATTTTTTATTACATATAAGGAGGCAAGAAGGGGCCAGGGTGGTGGTTTTAACATAATAGGGTCAGAAATACAATATTGTGTTCCTGACCCTATAGTGCTCCTTTAAGCAAGAGTATGTGAAGAGTAGTTAAGGTTGCCACCTTTCTTGGAAAAAAAATACCAGCCTTAATCATTTGTATAATTAATTAGTTATGCGTGACATCACATGATGTAAATCACAAGGAGTGACATCAGAGAAAATTCTGTAAAATCACCAACAAACTACTCACAGTTTGATTCTACTGTATAGATGGTCTTGCAAGTCACCCAGTGTCTCAGTGTCCCTATGTATCACAGTGTCAGTGACCCCATGTCACCGAGTCTCCCACTGTTTCAATATTCTTATTCCAATGTGTGATCTTCCAGATCTCAGTGACATAGAATGATAGAATGCATCCAAAATGAAAAGTAGAAAAATGTGCATAAAGTAAAAAAATATTTCTCCCAGTGTCCCAATATCTCAATGTGTCCCCATGGCACTAAGATACTGGGGACACAGCGAGACATGGGGACACTGAGAGACATGGGGACACTGAGAGACCAGGGGACACTGGGAGACATGGGGACACTGAGACATTTAGGGAAACTGGGAGAAATGGGGACACTGAGACACTAGGGACACAGACACTGGGAGACATGGGGACACTGAAACATTTGGGGACACTAAGACACTAGGGACACAGAGACATGGGAACACAGACACTGGGAGACTAGGGGACACTGGGAGGATAGGGGACACTGGCTGGGAGACAGACACTTGGGGACACTGGGAGACATGGGGACAGTTGTGGACATAGACATGGGGACACTGGGACAAATAGGGACACTGGGAGACATGGGGCCACTAGGCACACTGAGACACTAGGAACACAGGCACTGGGAGAAAAGGGGACACTGAAACATTTGGGGGCACTAAGACACTAGGGACACAGAGACACGGGAACACAGACACTGGGAGACTAGGGGACACTGGCTGGGAGACAGACACTTGGGGACACTGGGAGACATGTGGACATAGACATGGGGACACTGGGACATATAGGGACACTGGGACACATGGGGTCACTAGGCACACTGAGAGACATGGGACACAGACACTGGGAGACTTGGGGACACAGACACTAGGGACACTGGCTGGGGGACACAGTGACACTGGGAGACATGAAGACATAGTGTCTCCATGTCCCAATGTCTCAGTGTCTCCCAATGTCCCTATGTCTCACAGCGTCCTCATGTGTCTCAGCATCCCCATGTGTCCCAGTGTCCCCAGTGTCTCAGTGTCCCCATGTTTTCCAGTGTCGAAAAGTGTCTCAGTGTTCCCAGGTCTCCCAGTGTCTATGTCCCCATGTGTCCCCTAGTGTCTGTGTCCCTTAGTGTCTGTGTCTCCTAGTGTCTCAGTGTCCCCTAGTGTCTCAGTGTCCCCATGTTTTCCAGTGTCCCCAAGTGTCTCAGTGTTCCCAGGTCTCCCAGTGTCTGTGTCCCCATGTGTCTGTGTCCCAATGTGTCTCATAGTGTCTCAGTGTCCTCTAGTCTCTCACTGTCCTCATGTGTCCCTGCTGCCTTTCCCCCCATCCCTCACTTACCTGAGCTGTAGAGCTGCTGTCTGGACTCTGTGCTATGTTGCTGCTTCCCCACGGATCAGTGAGTAGTAGAGAGAGGCAGGGATATGCTGTAACTTCCTATCCCTGCCTCTCTCCACACACAGTGACCCCTACTGGCCGGTGCTGGTATTGCAGAGTAATCTATTTATTTTCTCATTGATTCTGAGAAAAATACTTGCATTTGTAGTGCCGGTATTACTGCAATACCGGCACAGCAAGGCAGCCTCAAATACCGGCTGTGCCAGTAAAATACCAGTCAGGTGGCAAACCTAAGAGTAGTGTGTAATAAAAAATAAAAAAAATTATGTTTTTTTGTTTTTATTTTTTAAATGGGCCTCCATCAGCCCCTATGTTAATCCGGCCCTGGTGCACACAGATACATATTCTCAGACACATGCACATAGATACTTAATTCTAGACAAAAAATAGAGAGCAATCTCAAAGGCACACACATAGAGACATATTTACTCTCAGACTCCGAAAATTCTAATAAAACCTATATATGCAGATGTCAGAAAAAAGAGAGGTATCCTAATACCATTAAACTGGTATCAATGCAAACTTTATGCACAGGGATGACATTGATGCACGTTTATAGCGGTGGCATTTACAAGGACAGACCAGCAGATTAAATGTTTACTCCTAGCCTTGTTTGGTCAAAGAGCAAACCCGGTATTTGCTTAAAATTATATATATATATGATTGTATATCAAGTGAGATATCAAAGTATAGGATCAAATCACCACTCACAATCTTTTGAGCTGGAAGGTATAGCTCAATTTATGCACTTTTGGGGTCCGTTGAGGCGACCCTTTCCCTTCTTTAGGAGATTTGCTGGATGTCTTTATCCTATGTATTGTCATAAAAAAGAACAAATATGGTGCAATACTGTAATGTTCCTTTAAGTGGTAAAATTGAAGATAAATAGTACTCACAAACCCAGAGCATTCCAGATAGGCTCAAATCAGATAGCGGATGTGATTAAGGACCACATTCATTCTTTGTGATAGTAGGAAAATGCTGTAGGTGTGTTAATTAAAAATGTACACTTTATTATACTATAAACATATATATATAAAAAATTAGGTAAAATACAAATTAAAAAATACACACTTATTCGGCAATGAGAGTCCAGTAATAAAGAGTCCTATTGTGATGGAATTTCAGCGAAATGTAAATTTAGTAGGCCGAGATTTCCACGTGACATATGTGTATGTTGTATCAGTTTGTTAGTTACACGTAGCTAAGATACTGTCATCAATGTACTGAGCATGTGAAGGAATGCAGGAACTGAAATTACACTCCTTTCTCCTTTGTTTCGGATGAGCTATGTGGTCTGCCCATATAAAGAAATCCAAATCCTGTCCACTTATTGGTTAAAGGTATGTGCGGGTGGAGCTATTAATGGGAGGAGTTATAGTTCTATAAAAAGCATGTAAAAAGCATGTACTCCATGTGTTTGTCCCTCAGACCTGTTTTGGAACGTTAGTTCATCTGAGGCCCGATCGGTATGTTTATAAAGACCTCTTACTTCCTGAAAACCTGCATCCATCTCTCTGTGTCTGGCTTCTGCAAGTTTACTCGGTTAC